TGGCGGATCCTGTCCGAGGAGCGCGTGGAGCGGCCGTAAGTCCGGCCCTGGGGCTGGGCATGGCTTGGTCCCCGGGAGGAGGGATGCGGGGGGGAGCAGAGCTCAGCTCACGGGTTATTATCGGTAGGATCGAGTTGTCGTAGCAGGGAGGTGTTAGTTAGCACAGTAAGTCCCCTCTAAGTTCACCTGCACACAACTTTCCCCGTCTGGAAAAGCAGCAGCAGGGGACACAGCCTGGCTCTTCCTGCAGCAGCAGAGGGACACGCTGGCACACCTGTGGCTGTTTAGAAAGTCCCTCAAGGGGCTTCTGTTTTTCACAGGTGTGTGTATAATCCTGTAGGTCTTTGCAGACAGCAGCCACTGTCCTCTTGGGCATAGTCCGAGTTACAGAGCACATTTTTGATGCTCCTTGTGGCCCTGTGCTGATTTGTCTGGCTCTCAGTGCCCCTGGTTTATCAGTTTTGGTGGTTTCAACAACCCTGCCAGTCTCTGGAGCTTATCACTCCTTGGGAGATGTTCACACACTGCCTCTCAACACACACTTTCTCTGTTTGGCCTGCAGCTATTGATTTTTCCCTGTGGGTGGGATACAGCAATTTGAGTGTGTCTTGGCAGCAGCTGAACGATTGTATGATACAGAATCACAGAATGGTTTGGGTTGGAAGGGACCTTAAAAATCATCTTGTTCCACCCCCTGCCATGGGCAGGGACACCTTCCACTATCCCAGGTTGCTCCAAGCCCCGTCCAACCTGGCCTTGGTCACATCCAGGGATGGGGCAGCCACAGCTTCTCTGGGCAACCTGTGCCAAGGCCTCAGTATCCATATATCCTGGCTTAGGCAATGCATCTCCAGCAGGCTGCTGTAGCCTATGGACATGCATCTCTGGTGCTGACTGAAGGCACTTTTAACTAGTTGGTGATAATAAACCATTCAGCTGGTGCTGCCTCATCCAGGGGATGATGTCTTTCTGACATCTTACCCTGTAAAAATGCCACCTGTAAATTTGCTGCCTTTTGACACCTTCCTGAGCTCCTTGTGTTGCTACACTAGGAGCTGATTGTAGGACATACCAGTGGTAACAAACTAATCTTTAACCTTCTCAGGGGGAATCAGGTAAAAGCTGAGTGGAAGCCAGGACAGGGCATCGTGGAGCTGCTGTCCCCTGCGGTGAGTTGCTACAGAGTGTACTCAGTGCCATCACCTCCTGCTGCCTCACAGATTCCTTAATTTGCTTCTTGAAATGGGAGGGAGCCTGGTTGTCAGCAGGAAACAGCCAGAGCCCATCAGGGATTTGTGCTTCTGTTCCAGGGGAAGTTCTGGCACACCATGGGGTTCTCGGAGCGAGGCAAACAGTGCTTGCTGCCTGAGGAAGCTCTGTACCTGCTGGAGTGTGTAAGTAGGATGGGGGCATTGGGTCCTTACTGAGTGATTGCAGGAGCTGTAGCAGCTGATAAACACCTGGTTCTCAAGGAATTGTCCCTTTTTAGCATGTTTTCATGGGTTCATCCCTTGTACTCTGGAGCAGCCTCTGTGTCACTGGCAGTGTAGTTGGATCAGTGGCCAGTTTATTCAGCTGCTGTCATGTTTAACTCACTTAAGAGGTCTTTGGGGCTGCTGCTTGGGATTTTTTTCCCAGTTTATATGGCAGAGAGAAATTTAAATATGGCAGAGAGAAATTTAAATATGGCAGAAAGAAATTTACGTGTGGCAGACAGAGGAGTGAGACCAGGCTGTGTTCAGTGCTCCTCTGCCTGCAGAAATACTGCTTAGGGTTCACTTGGATTTCTTTGCTGTGAAGAGTGTTTTTTTTTGTCTCTCCACCAAAGCCTTTTATCAGTAGAATAGGTGCATTGATATAAAGGGGAACTTTTATCCCTTAGCAAAACTGAAAGAGGTTATGGGCATCTGATGCCATCCCTTAAATCCTAACAGCAAAGGTCAGGCTTTTTTACCTCTGGCATTTTGATGAACAGTTTGTAAACAAACTGATGACAATACTTTAGTGAGTTGCTGACTATAGAATCTCTCCCCAAAAGCATAAAAGATCAGTCAGATGCCATCAGCCCATCCCATGGGAAAGGTGTGGTTCCTAGTGTTTAGTTTTCTTTATGAGTAACACAGTTTATAAAACAAAAAAGGGGAGAAAAAAGAGGCGTAACCTAAAGCTGCCTCCTGGAGGTCGGTTTTCCTGTTTCACCTCTTCCCTGGGGAAGCTACCTATGGGATCTCTCGGGCTGCAGTAAATGCTTCCAAGGAGGCACCAACTGATGGCATGTAAGGATGCCTCCAATTCCTCTGCTTCAGCTCTCTCAGCTGTGCAGGTCATAAATATTTTTGTGATTGTGCTGTGTCCTGAATCGCTGAGATCATCAAAGTTAAATTATATCTCAAAACAATGATTATTTTATCAGCTGAGCATTTTGGTCCCAGCTGCATCCTCCAAACAGATGCAGCACTGGAGCAGGAGCTGAGAGTTGGGGATGGGAACTTCTTACCTGGTTGATAAACCCAGGGCATGGAGGAGCTGGGCATGGGAGAGGGACTGTAAATAATCCAGGTTGGCAAATGGGGAGAGATGGATATCATGTCAGGGAGGGTGCTGGGACCAGCTGTCAGGACCAGTGGGAAGAGACTGGTGTGAGCTTGCATAGATTTGTTCCCTGTGGTTCTCTCACACCAAGCTTTTGCCCTGCAGGGCTCTGTCCAGCTCTTTTTCAGGGATCTGCCCATGTCAATCCAGGAAGCCTACGAGACCCTGCTGTGCCAGGAGACAATGACCCTGTCACATTACCAGGTGTGTTGGGATCTGCTGTTGCAGGGAGGGTGAAAGCAGAGCCCAGCCTCTGCCACACAGCCTCTTCCAGTGACTGGAAGCAGAGTAGGACAGTGAGGGAGGGGAGGGACGTCATTCACAGTTGTTCCCACTCACCTTCATCCTGTTTCCCCACTTTTGCTTTGGACCCTAACCCTGGCGTTTTCTCTGCTGCCAGTGCCACACTGTTCACTCAGTTGTGGAGAAACTGAAGTAAATAGTTTGGGTTTAGGGTTGTCATTTAACCCTCTTGCTTTCCTTTGCTCTAAGGTGTTCAGCCACTTGAAGCAACTGGGTTATATTGTACTGAGATTCGACCCCAGGTAACCAACTTTTCCTTTCCCCACTGCTTTCTCCTTTCTGAAGGCCCTGTGCCCACTGCCTGGCCCCAGGGAACAGCAGAGAAGAGGACTTTGGCCCTGCATTCCATCTCTTGGGAGGATTAAAGGCTAAAAGTGGCACTCTACCCTTCCTTGCTCCTCCCTCTTGAGGAGGTGATTGGGAACATGAAATGGGGCATGAACTGAGGACCATCCTGGTCCTTCTTGGGGATTTTCTGTGCCTTTTGTTTCTGTATTCTGGGGACTGAGCAGAAGGCTAGTTCCACTACCTCACCCTGCTCTCAGCCTCTGTGTTGGTCTCTCCTTTCAGCACTGTCCCGTCTCCCTACGAGAGGCAACTGAACTTGGAAAGTCACTGCAAGAGCTCTGGGAAACACCATCGCAAAAGGAGGAGGAGTTCCAGCCCCCGGTAAGGAAGTGGCCCAAAGCCTTCTCCCATCCTCTCCCAGGCCATGCTGGCTCAGGAACAGCTGATTTGCTGCAGTGTCCCCAGGCCCTTGTGCTGTGGGTGATCTTATGTGGCGCAATTGCTCTTGGCTGTCCCCAAGCAGTGGAGTGCTTTTCCTGGGCACTTTGCAGTGTTCCCTTTTGTCACACGTGTGCTTCATCCAGGGCTAAGAGGGGCAAACTGCTCCTGAGCCCCACAGCTGGGGTGCTGAGGTGCCAAAACAGAAGAGTAGAGAGGTCAGTGCAAAAGAAACATGGGTCAGGTGTCTCCTCTTGCTCTTTTGTAGTGGGAGCACAGATACCCCATTCACATCTTGCACTTATCCACCTCCTCAGTCCAACTTACATGCCAGGACTCTACAGCAGAGAGCACCTGGGGTTTGCATGTGGCCTCTAGATGTTGCCAAAATGTCAACAGAAACTGGCAGATTTAGTAATTTTGCTAATAATTCTGGCAGCTCCCAGGAGGTGGCGTCAGCCTTTCAGAAATGGGGAGGAGAGGCTGGGCCACGAGTCCCTGTTAACAGTAAATCAGTGCCCGGGGAGTTGTGAAATTGTAGGAATTGGGAGATTAAACTGCTGGTCTAAGAATTGCCCCATCTTCTCTGGAACCAGGGATTGACTCTCATACCAGTAAGAGGTGCTGGCAGGCAGGTTTCTGCCTGGCCTGTGCTGCTTTGGCTGATGTCCATCATGTTTGCATGGAGGTGTTTTGGTCAGTGGAGCTTGGAGGCTGCATGGCAGGTTGGAAACATGTGTCTATACAAATCAAGGCTGGGATTCTCTTGGGCCTCAAAGTCAAACCTCATGTAGGACTTTGGAAAAGTTTATTCTGCCTTTGGTATTCACTGCTTCATTTTGGCCTGCTTTTCTCCCTTCTCATTTGTCACACAAGCCAAGAGGTTGTTGCAAGGGTTTGCAGACCTGCCTGGGGGTTCCTGTCACCTTTTCTGTTCTTCCTTAAGGCTTGGCAGGCTGTATTTTTCCTGTTAGCAGGGAGGGGGCAGGATTCAAAGGAAATCAAGTTCCACCACATGCTCCCCCTGTCTTTTATGCTGCTGTTTCTGTCTTTAGGTCACATGAAAAGAAACATAAGGTATCTGAGGACCTTCCAGGAGCTGAAGGGACCTCCAGCAAAGATGGAGATGACTGTGGAGACTCCATGTGCCTTCCCATGGATGAAAAGCCCTTGTCAGTACAGCCAAAGGAATCAGATGCTGGCAGTGCAGAGCAGGAGTCAAACCCAGTTCCTCTTGATACAGGACAAAAGAACTCTCTGAGTCCCTCCAGGAGCCAGGCTGAAGACCACAAGGAGAGCAGCAGTGGCACCCGTGCACCCCGCTGGGATTTTAGCACCATCACCTTTCCAAACGTGGCCCCAGACCAGCCGTGCACACACCTGCCCTCCCCTGACAGCAGGCTCCTGCCAGAGAACGTGCCAGGGAGGGAGGTTGATGCAGTTTCCTGGTGCACACGCATCAACCAGAAACAGGAGAAGCTGACCCGGAAGGAGAGGAGGCAGCGGGAGAGGGAGAGCAGGTATAAGAGCAGCGTCAATGCCGACCAGGAGGTGAGGCGCTGCTCCAACTGGCAGGAGTACAAAGCCCTTTTGGAGCAGAGGAGACAGCAGAGGGTTTGGAAACGACCATCACATCTCTGGGACCAAGCTGTCACGCCACTTCTGCGGCCAGATGAAGCTACCTCGTCAGGTAGTGGCTGTGGGAACTTGGCAGGGACCATTCCCCCTCCCCAGCTCTCTGAAATGGTGCCTGGTATGCAGCAGCAAAAGGGATGACATGGAGAAGCTGAACATCAGTTTAGGGGACAGTGCTTTGAGCAGGAGAATCTTTCTATAGCCTGCTCAAGTGCCAGGATAAACAGGGCCTTGGGAGGTCCTCTAATCCATTCCCCATGTCCTGCTGTATTGCAGTCCTTCCTGCTAGGCTGTTAGGCATGTGCAATCAGGGCCAGCAAGATGCAAAGCAACTGCAGGGTGTTCTGGGCTGTGTGCTGGGAGGAGATGAGGAAGTTGAGGCCTTTGAAGTAGCCAGTGGTGACTGTGGTGCTGCCAGCCATTGTCGGGGGAGGAAGGCTCGTGGGTGGTGGTGGAGTGCTTGGAGTGCCCTGGGAGGGAAATTGCTGGTCTGATCCTTTCCTGTTCCTTGTCCCTCCAGCTGCGCTGCTCCAGCAGATCAGTGTGCTGCAGCCCTCCCACATCCTGGATGGAGCCTCCCGGTTAGTATCCAGCCAGTCAGCTCGTGGCTGTTTGGGAGCAGGGGTATCTTGTGACCGTCCCTGCTTGTGAGGTCTATGAGACACTCACAGTGGCAGTTTGGGAGCTGCCTGATATCCAGGGTGGCAAGAGAATCCAGTGCTCTGCTCCATGGCCCCCTTGCATCTGTAGTGAGGGGCTGACATTTCCATGAAGTACCAGGTCCTGCAGCAAGAGATCCAGGGCTTTCCAGGCCAATTAAAACAGCAGGGTTGCTCTCTTATCCTGCTATTTCCCCTCTGCACCCAAGCCTGGTAATCTCCCTCAGAGGTTTGGTTTGGTTTCACCTGTGCCTCATCCCTGGAATGTGCTGCCATCCCAGCTGTGGTGGATATAAAACCCTGGCTTTGGGACTTTGGTTCTGCACCTGCCTCAGAGTCTGAGCAGTGCTTGTGTGCAGTCCCTGCAGTGCTTTGCTCCCGTCTCTGTTAGTGCTGCTTCTTGCAAGGGGCTCTGCAGAGAAGGGAGTGGGGCAGATGTAGGGTAGGATCTTGCTCGGGTCTGTCTGCAGGAGAGCTCTGGAAAGTAATTAGAACAGTTGCAGGGTCAGTCCTTTGAGGAGTGAAGCCTTTCAAAGGGTCCAGACTAGTCAGGGCTCAGGAGTTTCTTCTGCCTCTTTGCTCTGCTGTATGAGTACCCTACAGTGTTTCTATCCCATGCTTATGTGGGTGTGTTCTTTTCTGCAGGCTGCAGGAGGACCCAGAGGCCATGAAGATAGACTTCAATGTGTATCAAGCAGATGCTGTGTCCAGGTTTAAGAAGACAAACCCTGGGAAGCCATATGTCAGGATGTGTGTTCGGAGGTACCCGAGAATCTTACGCTGTTTTCTGGCACATTGCAGTTGCTGTTGTGGAAATGAAGTCCTAATGATCTGTAAATGAGCCAGCACCTTGTGAGCTTTACAGATCATCAGAGTGCCTCCCTGGAGAGTGGTCCTGCCTAGAATTTTTTTTTCTTTCAGTTCCTCCTTTGTTGGAGGCTGTGGCTGACAATTCCCCCAGCCCTTGCACTCAGCTCACACTGTTTGGTCATCTGGTTGCTGCTCATGTCTGAGTATTACTGGGAGTCAGGAATAAGAAGCCACAGCTGTTTTTATGCAATGCTTGTGAAACTCAGGTAGAGCTGAGTTTCAAGGGTGCTGTATGGCCCCTGAATCCTCAGTCAGTGCAGATCCCTATGGATTTCTGCAGAGATGAACCTCCCTAGAGCTTGCTACAGGCTCTGGGCTATGGCTTCAGTATTTTGATCTTTGTTAAGTGTAACTTTAAGATCAGTATGAACAGAGGGTAGGTGTCCTGTTTCTTGCTGAATCCAGAACCTGATACTTAAACTCCATATCCAGGTACAAAGTTCAGTGTCTACCTTTTCTCATTTTCCTACATTAAACCTGTACCCATGCTCTCTTGTTGTTAATGCAGTTGTTAATGCAGTTTTACTAAGGTGGATCATGAGCAGTAGGATGATCCTTGTTGCAAAGAATACTTTCATTGATGAGCAAACAGACTCCATAGAATTAAAAGGAGGGAAAAGCAGGTCAGATGTTGATCCCAGCAACCTAAAGATCTTCCCAGCACAGAGGTATTACGATTGCACTGGGCTGGCAATGTGCCAGTATCCCTGTGAGCCACATCTGATAGGCACAGTGGGGAGCAGGGTGCAGTTGCCCTTGTTTTTTTGGCAAAGGATTCGACAGCTCCCAGTTCCCGGCATGCTGCGTATTCACTCTCAGGGCTGGCAGCCTCCTGCTTCGACTGGAAGGGGTGTGGAGGATCACTACCAGCTCCTCAGGCCAAAGGGAGCTGTTGTGATGGCTGGCCAGGAGACAGCTTTGCCTCTGTGTTCCTCTTGCTTTGAGAACAAACAGGATGTTTTTTTCCTCCCTGCAGCTTTGACGAGCAGATCCCGTCCCTGCGGGCTCTGAAGCAGGTGACGTACCTGAGCGGGGACGTCCCGCTGGTCTTCGCACTGGTGGATCACGGAGAAATCACCTTCTATTCACTGAAGGAATTCAAGTTGCCTGTTGATGTTAGTCACTGAAGCTGCTGTCACTTGCAGGAATGGTATGGGATGAAGGGAAGAGCTCTGCTCAGGATTTGTTGTCCTGATCAATCAAATATTACAGAAAATAGAACCTGGAACCTTGGGTAGTTGACCACTTTATGTCTGTAACAGACTTCACTTGCCCAGATGGCTCAGGCATAATAGCATGATTTACAGCAAACAAGTGGGTATGGCTTAGCTGGGCATTTCTGGACTGGAGTCTTTGTTCTTGAAGCCGCTGGTTCTCCAGCTTTTTCACCTTGTGGACCACCAGTCTGCCTTTTTTGTCATCTTTCACTGACCTGTGGACCATTAGCAAACACCTTACCTGGTGATCCTTGTCACATGTTAAGAAGCACTGTGTGTTGAATGGAGTGTCACTGAGGTCAGCTGGGGACAGAATAAGCTGATCAGTGGTGGTGTCCTGAGCCTCTGTCATTCAGCTCTGCCAATGACCAGCAGATCAGATTCTGATCTGAAAAAGGCATGGCCATAAACTCAGTCACCTGGAGTAAAGTTTCCAGACACTCGAGAGCAGGAAAGTGTGCCTTTAACACAATTTCATCAGGCAGAGGTCACAGAAAGCCCCAGAGCATTGCAGATGGCACCTCAGCCTCGTGCTGCAGCAGCTGTGCTAAAGCATGTTAAAGTTTGACCAGCACTGTCAGCACACTGTCTCTGATAGTCTCACCAGGGCTGAACTGCAGCCTCTCTGTTTCAGCCCAACATCCTCTTTCCTGGCTGTGGATCCTTGTTATTTCTCTTGCAAGTGAGAGATCCCTCAGTAAAGAAAAAAGCTGCAAATTCCTAATGAGCCTTCCAGTCCTGTGGCTGTTGTCCTCCAAACCAAGGATATCATTGCTTTCCACCAGGATATCTTGGTACCAAATTTGCTTTAGCGTCTATGCAAAAAGTGCCAGGTGCCAGAAGGTCTGCTCAGTGGATGGAAGTGAGCTGAGCATGGCTGTGTTTGGTGTCAAGATTTTCAGAACTGTAAGAGCAACTGGTTTAGATGTGTTTTATTTGCTATTTTTTTAATTCCTTTTGGAGATGTGGAGAAGGCTAAGCAATAAAAAAATCTTTTTCCAACAATGCAAGCTCCTCATTGTGGTCCTTAATTCCCCTAGAAATGTTAAGTTATGCACAGGGAGACTCTGTGGAGGCTACTGGAAGCTCAGTAGCAGCAGCTGGTGAGCGCCTGCTCAAGGTCACACAACCCTGCTCCTACGCCCGTGTGTGTTTGGATCCAGCTGCTGCCCTGTTCCCTGGCAGGGCAGCGTGACTCAGAGCCTGGAGGTGTCCCTACATCCGCCTGCAGTTCCTGTCGGCACACCACTCTTTCTCCTGCGTGGTCAGAGGTATCGTAGCCCAAGGTGGCAGGGCTCTGCTGCCAGCCTGGTCCGGTTTCACATACACACACCCCGCACTTATCAGATGCTGGAAGTCGGCGGGGCTCTGCTGAGGTGAGGGTCTGACGGCTCCTCCCACACTCCCTCCCCTTCCTCTTCCTCCTTCCAGCCCCGCTTTGGCTCCCATAGTCCTCTTCAAAGCCGGGGTTGGCAGTTCCACCTGCCCTCAGCACTGTCCCAGACTGTTTTACAGATTAAAGGCAGTGGGAAGGGAGTTTCTAAGAACGGGCGCAGCCAGGAGAGCTCCAGCCTGACCCACAGGGCTCATGTTTGTCCTGGAATTAGGTCAAACTCACTCCTGTTGATTTCAATCAGTCTCACCTCCTTATGCCAAGGTGGAATTGTATCGATGAACTCTACGAGAGCCACCCAGTGAGTTTCGCTGGGGCAGAGACTCCCTGATTCAGCAAAAGACAATTACAATTTAATAACCAAGTGCAGGGAGGATTGAGAAACTGTGGCTGCCTTGCTCAGCACCACAACATCTGACAGTGCCTTTACCAGGATGGGAGCACGATGCAGACTGATACCACTGCTCCACCTTGGCCTGCGATGCACATCGGCTGGGTGTTGCAAGAAGACGACAGAAATAAATACTTTAATTGAAAAAACATCACTTTTGGAAGCGCGGGTGAAACACTGACTCCTTGTCAGAGTTAATTCCGAGCTTTTACGTGGATGCAGAGAGGTCGGCAGACCCTGGGCTGCCGTTGCACGCTGCATAGGTGCAGATTGCTCGCTCAGCTGTTGTTTCCTGCCGCAGGACACGGGCTGGCTGCTGCAGCAGCAAGAGCAGCCGTTGTGTCCCTCTCTCCGGCGAGGGCTCCGACTTTCCGAAAAGTCTTTCTGTTTCTTTGTCACGACAGGCCGGCAGCTCCGGGGCTGGAGGAGGGCGCTGCGCCGGCCCTGGAAGCGGCTTTCCCTGCTGATTTTCCCGGCTGGATTTCCCGGTGCCAAGGCCGGGGTCGGTGCCCGCGAGCCGCGCGGTGCCGCTCTCTGATTGGCTGCGGAGGGCTGGGCTACTGAATTATTCATGAGCGCGCCGGATGAAAGCGAGGCGGGGCCGCG